CCATAATAGAGTAGCACGTTTGGCTGAGAGTTGACGAGCCAGCCAGAGAAAGCAGGACGACGACGACGACGTTGTCGGTCAGTTCAAAAGCTGTTTTACCGTCTCTAACCACCCTCTTCAGCTTTCTTCGTTAACCCTCTACTGTCCAGACACCGTTTTTTGGACTTCAAGCTCGATATGGAGTCTACGAAACTCCTCAACTTCTAGTTTATACATAAATCTAAAACATTTCTGACAACTTTTCTTACCGATTTACCTTTACTAAACATTTTCCTAATGAACATGTGGTTGGTTGGATTAATTTCATTTTAATATAACAACGTCGAGTTCTAAATAGAACGGAAGAAAACAAAAAAGACAGAACCAGCGGAGTCTCTGAGAGTCCGCCTCGACGGTAGAGGGTTAAACCGGTGACGTTACGTTCTTAAATTTCGCGTGTCCGCGAAAGCTAGGCTCTCGCCACACAGTCGACCTGGTTGTGTCGATAGCGAACCAACCCTCGAGGGATGTTCGTTGTTGAATCTAGGTGGCCTCGTCGCGCGATACATCGTGCTGTGATCGAACCAAAGCTCAGAATCGTGAAAAATATGGTAGAAAGTTAGCGTTTAGCTCCTGTGGATAACTTTTGCTGGTCGGTTGAAAATGTTTGAGATTTCTCGGGTATTTAGGTTCAGATACGTACAACAGATTAATCGAATGTGCCTGGAAATGAGGCGTTCGGAAGGCAAAATGATTAACTACGCTTTTTGAAATTGGTTCGATTTTAGGATCGAAGCTGAAACAAATTTAATTTGATGGAGTTAGTTATTTTGGCTTCTAAATGGTTCAACTGTTCGAGATTGGTTGTAACTGGAAATCAGATGCTGTTATGATACAATTCAGTATTTTTTAGAAATTCCAATTTTAGTATCGAAGCACATGCTTGATGCTGAACTCTTCATAAATAAAAAAAAATGTAAGAAATTTAATCTGATAGAGTCAGCCACGTTGGCTTCTCGGTGTCTCAAAAAAGATTCCCTATTTTCCTAGAAATTGCAAAGAAATTTCAAAAATTTCGCGCCAAACAAACGATTTTTCCTCGCACCGTTGCGTTTTGCAGCGAGGAAACAGTTACATCTACGCGATTCCTTCAAGATTTATCCGTACAACTCGGAGCAAATCCGTTGGAAGGAACGATAGGAAGAGAGGAGGCGTCGAAAGGTACATAGACAATCCGACAGGCAGTGTGTGCACGGTCATAATGCTGATGTATGCCGGATACATCGTCTGAAAGTCGCAGATAAAAGTCAAGATTGTGAAAGTTCCCTCTGTTCCCCGTCGGTCGATAAGAGAAATTCGAGTTTTTTTCTTTTTCTTTTACTATCGTTCGATATCCATGTGAAATTCCGCTCGGAGCGTAGACAGTGGCGCGCATGTAAAATGCAAATGTTATGTATCTCGCGATTATCTGACGGCGACGGCGACATTAGACCGTTTCCAACTTCTTTTTTTTTTTCAAATTCAAAAGCTCCCGCGTACAGACGGTAAATTATACGTATACGAACGTGGAACAATCCACGTACACACCATTTACCTTGCTGCGTTCAATATCGTTTCTTCGCGGGATGTTAATCTATGGAACGCGATATATCGCTGCAACCCATAGAAAAGAATAGACGCTTTCGTTCAAAAATATTAGGACACTTATCGAATGTGAAAAAAGTGATTCAATCTCGAATTTTGTAATAGTCTAGTTTCAACATTCGCTGAAAGTTGAGAGTGAAAAAATTGTAAGTGACTTTGAAAATTTTGAAAAATGTGCTATAATTATTTTAAAAGCCTCTGAACCATATTATACGACACAAAGAACAGTTCAATCAGTCCACGAACTATAGAATAATCTAAAGTGATCGCGTTAGGCGAATCACTCTGTATATAGTTTCTTCTTTCCACGAAATCATTAAACTCTCTCGAAAGTAAACGAAAAAAATTTTAAAACGAAAAAAAAAATAATTCCCATAAAATCAGAGACAATTCCAATCGTTCAACGAATAGTTCTATATAGTTTAGGTATATTTTAAGCGCGTGAAATATGCTTGTAAATAAATGCTGATTCATTTCGAAATACCCTCTCAAATATACATTAAATTCATCGACAAATCGAAATAAAACACACTATATACGACACGCAACTCGCGCACGATTGGCAATGATCGAATTCTGGAGGTGATCCACGATTGTTTCACGCCGATCGCGCGCTCTAATTGATCCTGTCAATTAAAATCGGCGCGCATGCAACTGCGTAAAATTCAATTTCAATTTAGTAAGCCGCCGCAAGGAACGCTAAATTGCTTTTCTCTACTGGACATACGTCACGGATTCGGACAATTCTAATATGCAAATGTATAACAAAGAACGATGAGAAAAGAAATTTTTTTTTTTTTAATCACTGGAGAAAACTTCTATCAGAGTAGAGGCTTACGTAGACGTTCTTCTGTGTGAAAACGTTCGATCGATTTGGGACAGTCTGTGCCTTGCGGGCGTTTAAGAGTACCAAAATCGATCGATCATATTGTCACCGAAGTAATATCGACAATTGACCGTGATGTAATTATTGATGGCGTTTTCATGGTACTGTTTCGCATTAGACCACCGTCGAACACACTGATTGCGAGTTCGTTAAATCATTGTTCGATTTAAAGGGAAGATTTATCCCAACGGTTCAACTAGTTTTTGTTTCCGGTGAAAGATCGTTTCAGAGATCGTCACGTGTTAACGAGAGATTTAATCGCGGATGAACAATCACAGTGTGTTTTATAATTGTATCGTTGAAGTGAATCTTTAAAGTGAAAAATGTTCCAATGAAAAATTGCACTATAACCTAAAAATTTGTAAATCTTGTAACTCTTGTTATTCACTTGGTACATAAATTGTCAATTATTAATTCTGTATAATCATCTTCTGTTTTGAATTTGAAAAAATTCATTATACGAATTTAACCCTTTCGCTCCGAAGGGCGTATATATACGCCCTCGAAGAATGAACTTTCATATACGAAGAGCGTGTATACACGCTCTCGAAAAGTGGGCGCTCGGATACGAAGAGCGTACATATACGTTCATACCATATATACTTTTGTTTCTTTTTTATTTTTGCGACAAAATGATCTCGCTCCGAAGGGCGTATATATACGCCCTCGAAGAATGAACATTCATATACGAAGAGCGTGTATACACGCTCTCGAAAAGTGGGCGCTCGGGTACGAAGTTTTTTGTTTTTGCGACAAAATGATCGTTTGCCAAATTTCATTTAAATCTTATAAGACAGATATTGGAAACATATGGGAAACAAAAATCAGATATGAAATGTACCTCAGTGTCGACTAGTCAGTAATGCGCTCCGTTCATAGCGATCATATTTTGTCACAAGCGCGCCGTAGCGAAAAGGTTAAAAAGAAAATTGTAGGAACGTCGAAGAACATGTAGATAATTCTGTTAACGACAAAAGTGAACTATACTAAAATTAGAAAGAACTGCCCCGACAATTTCATACAACTTCTACACACTCCGACACTTTCCAGTTTTGCTAATGGATCTGCAACTATTATTTAGACACAACTACGAGCATCTAAAGCGTTTCCATTCAACTCTAAACTTATCTAGCTGGAGTGCTACGGGAAACTCTTCTCACAGCATATCGCATTGTACTGGTTGTTTTGAATTGTCGGCTTGATACAGAAATCAGTGGCGCTTCACATCACTTAATCGACAAAATGTCAAAGGTGAAGCTACACTTTACACTGCAGTGCGTAAGTGTTGCTTACTTTCTGCTCTCGACGTACCGTACTCCTCTAGCAAAACCTTGAAACCAGCTCTCGAAGCATTGAAAATCATCGCGACACTTGAAAAACCAAACGCGGTATAGAAATTTTCAAAACGCTATTTATTCCATATTAACACTGTCAATTTTCCAAAAAAAAAAAGAAAAATCGACACTCGTCGTAAGAATTTCAAACTACCATGGTACCATTTTTAGAATAATTCGGCGCACAGTGAACGAAATGAGAATTACATTTACACTGAGCTCGACGGTGTAATTTTATTAAGATAATCAGCTTAAGAGATACTCGGCCAGATAGTCGCCTAATGCTGATTAATTTTCCTCCACAGTTGGCCGGTTTAACGCTAACGAACGTCGCGAAACGATGAACCAAGAGGCGGTTATCAAATCCGTCGGATCGAAATGCGTGACAAAGCGGGAACGAACGCAACGAAGATAAGAGAAACCTGAAAAGCAGCACGTTCGATCGAGCAACGATTTACCGAAGCAACTTTCTTCTAGAATTGAATTTTAATACCTACTCAGAAACGACCGGCCATTTAATAAAGTGATCGATATCACATGTGGATTACCATACTTCGCTATTCCGTCGATATTCCTCGTCGATGAGCAGCATTCTTCGTACAAGTGTTAACAAGATACACACCTTATTAAATAAATTAACAACCAAACTAGGCATACCACACACACTCGCACACTCGACTCAAAAATAACCCGCGAAAAACCAGTACATAGACACCCAGCTACGATCGTTCAGCTCGATAAATCACCGTCAATCCTCCTCCCACAGAAAACTCCTTGAAAAAACAGAACTACAAGTAACAATACCGAACTTCCCCGAAAAAAATGTCTAGCAACCAAAATACACTTCCGCGAGAAAGAAGCGTTAATCGATGTCACCATATGCTACCAATCGAACACCCTTATTATCCCTCACCCTACCCGAACGAACCTAAATCCTCCGACGTACACCGACGAGTGAACCCGTATCAATCTCGTCTAGAAGTGAACATTTTTTCCAGGATGTTCGAATGTACGTGGATGATCGAGCATCTCTCGTCGTAGGGCAAAAGCAGGAAGAAAGAAGAAGCAAGAAGAATCGAGGGAAGCAGCCAACGACGATACCAGGGACGACGACGTTGAGGGTAGAGATCAAGAGAGATAAGAGGAAAACTACTCACCTTGACGAAATGCAGGTTCTCCTTGTCAAGGAGGAACTCCATGGATTTGTGTGGCCTTTGGTTGATGGTGGAGGCGGCGTCGTCGTCGCGGGGGCTCCTGTGAGAAGCGGCGACAGGCGACTGGGGTATGTGGAGGGCGTGCTCCGGCCTGGGTCGCGGAACAGTCGAGGTGTGATTTAGATTGAGCAGGCTCCTGGTCTTCTTGCTGGCAGAGGCGGCGGCGGCGACGCTCGTCGTCGTGGTCGACGGCACGGCCTCGTCGAGGTCGGTCTCGAGCAGGCCGACCGGGCGCTCCTGGGCGGCCTGCATCGTGCGGGCTTTCGCCATCTCGATGGCCGCCGGATTTCCAAGGTCCGTGGCCGCGCGTCGGCGCGACGAACACGCCGCCGCCGTCGACGACGCCGACGCGCCCGTCGACAGTCTCGAGCCCAGCGCCCCGACGCGGGGCGGCTGAGGAGGCAGGGGCGGCTTGCTGGACACTGGCGCCCTCCCGTTTGCGCTAAGCAAAACAATTTCCTTTTTAGAATTATTCTTCCTTGCTTCGCGGTTTTATGGTTGGTTCTTATACTTTCGTTTTGGTTTTGGGGTAGATCGGGGTGTGATTGGGGTGGAATTGTAGAGCGCGGGTTTGAAAGAACGTGTGGGAGTATGTTTTTGGGTAGGGTGTATTGTTCGATTTTTTGGTCACGGGAAATTTGACTCGAAGGTGTTTTGTTTGAATTTAGGAGTGAGTTCTTGTAATATGGTCAATAGTGAAAGGTGCACTAGGGAAATGGACAAGAAGCTGTTTTTATTTACGATACTGTAACATCTGGTAGAAGACACTATCAAGGGACAATTCTAAAATAGTAATCACTAATATTGATGAAACTCGAATAACTATTTGACACGTTTCTTTTTTTTTATCGAATCCTCCAAATTAGAGGGATGAAAATCGCTCTCGAAAGTGGAGGTAATCATATTTGAGCCGTTTAATGCAATAATTTCAATATTTGTTTTTCTTGTAATATGGTCAATAGTGAAAGGTGCACTAGGGAAATGGACAAGAAGCTGTTTTTATTTACGATACTGTAACATCTGGTAGAAGACACTATCAAGGGAAGACTCTAAAATGGTAGTCACCAACATTGATGAAACTTTGGTATATGATAATTCTCGAACAACTATTTGACACACTTTTTTTTTAAATCGACCAGATTGAAGGGATGAAAATCGCCCTCAAAAATGGAGGTAAACAGTCTAATACCTCGAAAGTGGTTAGAGATAGAGGAATGGTGTTGAATATTTCAGCGACGAAAGTTGAAAAATGCAAATTATTTATCAGAGAATTTTTTTAAAGAAGATTTCAAGATTCCAAAGTGCCTTGCTCTTTGCAGAGTGTCATGTTATCATTTTTTAACAAAATTTCTATTCTATTATGGTAGGTTTCTGGAAAGATTTCTACAAAAGTGTTGCTTACACTTCTGATACGATGTAAACAGATTAGCATTGGCTTTGTTTTCTGAGACAAATTGGACCGTACTTTCAATCTACCGAATCACGATGACTTGAGAATGAGAACCAAGTATGAAGTGATTTTAATCCCTGGTAACGAAACGTCTTGCAAGTGAATGTTTGCACAGTTTGCATCTAAATTTCATTCAAATAGTGAAATCTATTTTATCGCAACCTAAACTATACTGCCGTTCTACTGGTCGTAAAACATCGTAATAAATCTTAGATAAGTGTTAGATCTCCTTGTTCATCTTCTGCTCTGATAAGATATTTCATTCACTGTAATTAATTTATACTTCTGTAATAAAAGTTTTACTGCTTCTTACCTATAGTACTAAAGAAAATGACTTATTTACAAGATCTGACGTAATATAAATATTTTTTTAGCAAAGAAGATTTCTATCTTATAAAAATGCAATTTATCGTTATTTTTTGTTGACTTCGTAATAAAATCCTTATCTTTCGATAAAATAGATTGCTTCACGGATGATTAAACGTTAATTCAAACGTACTCCAACATAATTTCTTTCCATCTAAGTTTCATTCAAATTCGAATATAAAAATTGCTGGCAAAATGGTCGAATTTTAAGAAAAAAATTTTTCTGAAGCGTTTGCTACTTCAATACTATTCGACCGTAATTATATTATTTCTTTCAAACTACTGTGTATATTGCTTAAATTACGAATGCATAGTTCGATTGAATCATTTAATGCCGGCATAAATTGGCGGTACAGCCGATGCATTAATAAATACAATTTTCGATGCGTGAAATCACTGAAAAGAGAAACTTCTCTTCCACAAAAGAATGTGAAAACGTTTTACATTCAATGCAACTTCATACTTATTTAGTTTACTACAATAACTTCTTATTACTTCAAATTCGTACACCTAATTCCTCGCTTCCTTCCTTTTCCTTCTCTGCCTAAATTTATGGTCACAATTAGTTAATCATTGATTCGTACACGATACTATGTTTGACAAAAAAAAAAAATATAATTTCAATCACATAATGAATGCAACAGGTGCCCTAAAACTCATGAATATACTAAAACTTCACTCAACGTACTGTTTCATATTCACACTACTCTACTGTCAAATTTGTTCACGATTCCATCTTCCGCGAAAAGCTCACAAATTACCTTCCAATCAACCACAGCCCATAAAACCAACGCTCGTTTTACAGATCAACAGGTCTATGGGCCACCGATAAACGTCTAAGCAGTTCTAACGAGTTCTAATGAAATGTTACAAGATCTTGTATAATATAGAAATACATTAACCCTTTCGCCGCGACAGATTTTAATACATAACATGTGTGACACGCGATAAATTTTTAACCACGGCTGCAAAATTTCTTACTTTGGCCGCATAGTTTTAAAATTCAATTTATTAAAATAAAGTGGAAGTGCGTAACGAATAAAATGAAGGTAGAAATGCAGCAAAAGGCTTCGACAATACAGCGTGACCAAATTCTCAAAGCGCCTATAGGCGCCAATAGCAATGAAAAGCTTTAAAAAAAAAGAACCTACATAAATCCAACGGTCAACATTCAGCACTAATCCAATCCACTTGGATTAAACCAGAAGAGAGCACTTTCTTCCCAGTCAGTACCACGGAGATCCCTCTAGAACTAGGCGTGTCACACGGGGAATCACCGAAATACAAAAGGTCGACGTCGAGAGCACAGACAGAGTCGGGGAGTCACCGAAATACAAAAAGTCGACGTCGAGAGCACAGACAGAGTCGGGGAACGACCGTTTCCCGGAAGAGAAACAAGCGGAAAATCCTCGATCGAGAGGAACGAAAAACCTTTACCCCGCACACTTTGGGGGTAAGAAGAAACACTTGGAACGATCGATAACCGAAAAAGACACGCGTTGTCGACGCTGTGTCGACGCGATATCGCGAATGTAACACTTTCCTGCCGCTTCTCCGCTCGGCTTTGAACTTCACCGTGCTGTGCAGATGCAGTTCCTCTGGTTCTCTCGCGGCGCACGGCGAATTCGTAGCATAGCTTTCACGCGATTCGATCATCAATCACGCGGCTCCCGTTACGCGGTGAAGAAAACGCGGAAGCGAGTGTGCTACGCAGCACGACCTGCTCTCCCCGGCCTCCTAGCCGCTTGTTTGTCTCTCCCTCGACAACTAAATAATCGTGGACCACTATTGGAACGTTTATACTCTATTTCTTTTTTTTTTCGATCTTGATAATTTCGTAATGATTTTCGTGAGTCAAGAGGTTTAGGTTAATCTATCGCTCGATCAGCGTTGCTCACATTACTGGGCATTGGGCCCAAGAGGATCGACTAATTGCGCATACTAAGTTATCGATTTACGATACGGCCATCGTTTGCTTTGACTTTTTCCCGGGAAATATGGGAGCGGTCTCTGATGAACGTGGGAGAGGTTCCAGTAAAAAAATGTCTTGTTCGCGAAACAGTGATTTATAATTCGAAAATTTGAAAAATTTGAAAAACACATTTTTATTAAAGTTAACATTTCTAAATAAATTACTTTTCATTTTAAATATACCAAGGACAAATCGAAAAAATTCTAGCCTCACAAAGAGCGATAAATACTGTTCAAATATTCGCACAATAGCGTTCAATAAGCGTGATTATTTTGTTATGTAGAAAATCGAGATCGAAAAATTGCGAGAACGATTCATCGTTTTACGATAGCACCGAATAAAAGAAACTGTACACAGATAACTTGTGTATAATACGGTGCTTTCAGAATTGCGCTATTCTTCCCTTTTATTAGAACAGAATCTCAGCTTTGTGTGATTTTTCAATTATCACATGACACGGTTTCGTTTCACACGATTTTAATACAACACGATACAAAATAACCGTGTTTTACCCGAGTGACCTACACGTGCGTTTATGGTCTTTCATCGTAAGAAGCGGAACAACACTGTTAACCCTTTGCGATCGAGTGGCGACTGAGAAGCGACATTGAACAATCGTCACTTGGTAGATAATTAACGAAGACAGAAAACAGATCTACGGGCCTCCATAAATTTGTTCACCACGGTGAAATAGAGAATACGTTGAATATTTAAATAAAATAGTATACTTTACTTCTACGTTAGTTTGAGAAAAATTTCGAAGATCCGATTTGCAACCTTTTCTACAGCGAAATCACCTTCGAGTGCAAAGGGTAAATAGCAGCAAACCTCTGACGATATGTTGAAAAAAAAAAAAAGAATTTAGAAAATTTTATTTTTCTGGCTAATTGAATCGTTCTCGATATCTTGGGCGTTTTATAGGTTTCAATTCGGACCTGACGAAGGTTCGGCGAAACACCTTGAAGCAAACGATAATCGAGAGAGCAGAGGAATAAAGTTGGATGATTGATGTTTTTTGGTACAGAAGCTTCTGTTCGTCTGGTATTCTGCTATCTGACCATGTGCATACATCAAACGTTCAGTCGTAAAATCTTATTTTACAGCGTAAGATGATTAATCTCTCAAGGGCCTAGTATTTTCCCAGATAAGATATCACCAGCAGGTGCAATTACATCGTAATAAGTGTGCAGAATAGTGTTCTGTGCAGTGTGAATAAATTTACAGCCTCTCGAAATGGTTTTAGGTGTAGAAAAAAGTGTTCGCATGCATTTATATAGGTACTTTTTGAACGTATTATATAAATGTACCAGATGTATAAAAAGTTGTGCAAAGACCATGAGAATGGAATTCCACACCTTTGGATCGATGGACATTTGTAAAAAAATTTTTGCGAAATTGTCCTTGACCTTGAAATTCAAGGTTATTTTTTTTGCGTCGTATTTTACTTGTTGCAAGGACACAAACTCAATTTCAAACTGAAGTTCCAATAATTCGTAATGCTCGAATACTCTGTAACACTCAGGCGTACTAAC